GAAAGATATTCAAGGCAAGGTAAATGTTATTATAATAGATTTAGAGTTTAATCTTAGTAATTCTCATTCAATAAATCAAGCTTGACCTCTTCTTAAACATCATAAAAAAACTAGGCAAATTAAAGAACCTCCGAGTAAAAATAATATTCTTGATATATTGATAGTATTCATAAAGGTTTAAAATGAGTAATACTAAAACTCCGGTGCTGCAAACCGACGTTTAATTTAAGCTATTTATACTTTTATGTTATACATAATAGTTCCTTTTAAAATCAGAATATTTAGAGGCAGTAAGAGTAATAGTAAGAGGAAATACTCCTGCACCGTACCAGAACACGAAAACAAAGCTATGTAATATTCCCCATGTTCCCTTAAAGAAAATATATGTTAAGTATTATCGGCTCTAAAAAGACAATGATGAAATATATGATATTCTTACTTTTCTCCAAGATACTACTCTAATCATTCAGCTCATTTCACCTAAAAGATTTAAAGTAGGTGCTGCTATAGTATCCGCACTCTAAAGGAACTACCATAAAGCTACTCGAGGTATGAAATTTATCTGTCTCTTTACGATTCATAATATTCATCCTCCTACTCATTCGTGAACCATGTTAGCCAAAGAAAACAAACCGGAGAAACACAATCGTGCCCAATCATTACTACCCTTCACTCCTAATCAACCAAATACTACCAATCCAGATGACACTAATCCTATTTGGCCACGGAAGAATAAGCAGTTAAAGCTTTTATATCAACTCGCCGTAAACACATTAATCCCACTACTACTCCTACTAATCTAATTCTCACTCGCAGTCAAGCTAAATTTTTATTGGCTTGTCCGAACAAAGGTAATACTGCAATCAAGCCATGTCCCCATAGTTTGAATACATCACCGGCTTGCATTGTTGATCCCGCAATGGGTGCCTCTACATGTGCTTTTGGTAGTCATATGTGAGGTAAAAATATAGGCAATTTTACAAAAGAAGCAAAGACTGTTACTACACGTCAAACACAATAAATAAATCTGATTCTCTTCATATTTTCAACTAATCAAGTTAATCTTCCACTTATATAGTCTAATTAAAGATAGCAACAAAGGCAAAGAAGCAAATAAAGTGTAAAATAATATATAAACCCTGGCCTGTAAACGTCCAGGCTGATAACCTCACCCAAGATAAGGGTTGAAGTAGGAATGAAAGAACTCTCGGATCTAACATAGAATAATAAGTAATCATTATCTTAAAATGTTATCATTAAAAAAATAAGAAAATTTTGTCTAGAAGATAATAATAGAGCAGTAATTCAAAATCTCAATAAAATTTAAAAATATTCTAGTGACTCGAAATTAAAGCATCACCCTGCTTATAATTACTAAATTCGTGTCGGCAATACATTATCAAAATAAAAGAGAATAAATAAGGAGCTTTGAGCCGCCCCTCCATGAATTAACAAAGGGTATCAATATGTGTCCGCACCACTGACGCCGAAAGAGCCAGCCCTAAAGCCCCTTCACAAGCAGACAAGATGAAGTCTTGTAATTCAAAAGATTCTTAAAATGATATATTCCAAACTTGATCAAGTAATTGGCAAATGTTTACGCTTAGGAGCAAATGCCATGAACCACAGATAACTATTACCACGGGGACAATATAAGGAAATTAAGAATCAACATTACTTTTAAGACTCAAGTAAAACGCCGGTCTTGTAAATCGGAATTGAAGTATTATTTTTTTCTTAAAGCATCAGAGAAGAGTTACCTCGGATATTTCTTATAGCTACATACCTGGTCTGTAGGAGTTATTTGATATTAGTAATAGCGACAGCTTTCTTAGGTTATGTCCTACTCTGAGGACAAATATCTTTGTTAAGGAGCAACTATTAATAAACTTATTTTCCCCTTATCCTTATACTGGGATCGACTTCGTACAATGAATCTGAGGGGAATTCGCAGTGGATAACGCTACAAAAGACCCACTGGAAGGTTTACGCACACACGCCGCGCACGCGCGCGCACACACACACACACACACACACATATATATATATATATATATATATATATATATATATATATATATATATATATATATATATATATATATATATATAATATATATATATATATATATATATATAATATATATTTTTTATACACATACACAAACAAATACCCACGCACGCATATAAATACATATATATGTTTACACACAAATATGTGTGTGTGTGTGATATATGTATATATATATATATATATGTGTGTGTATGTATGTATGTGTGTGTGTGTGTGTGTGTGTGTGTGTGTGTGTGTGTGTGTAGAGGTGAGTGTGTATTATATATCACAAACTCATACACACACATGTATATAGTCTCGGTCTTTAGAGTAATCGGGTTTGCATTGGATATGAACTTCTGTTTTTCGGTTACACACACACACACAACACACACACACACACAAAAAAAAAAAAAAACCCCTAGTATGTGGTCGACCCTTCAGCCACCAGAACTATTTTCCGTCGGTTTAGGATGGAAAGGGAAGTCCCACACGCCCTAGATAGCCTCTTCCAGCTTGGGGGGGTCGGTCGAGCTGATGTCATTATCAAATACTAAGTTTCATCTACCCAACTTTTATTTTCTGTTTACAATTATACTACACAATAAATCGTACTTCATTTATTGTTCTCTACTTACTATTAACTCTAATAATAATAGTAGTAAGGATTACTAACACTTTTTTGGTCCTTCACGTCCATCATCATTATAAATGACAATACCAATCCGTAAATCCCATCCATTGTATAAAATTCTAAATGGAGCCATTGTTGCTTTCCCCGCCAATATCTCAACTCTGAAATTTCGGATCCCTTCTTGGACAATGTTTAGTAATTCAAATTGTTACTGGCCTTTCCTTGCTATGCATTACACAGACCACGTTGACCTTGCTTTTTCAAGCGTTACTCATATCTGTCCTGATGTTAGTTATGGATGACTTCTACGCACTCTTCATGCTCATGGAAATTCCTTCTTTTTGTTTATATATACATCCAGGACGCGGTATCTACTGCGGATATTTCTTATATCTACATACCTGGTCTGTAGGAGTTATTTTGATAGTAATAGCGACAGCTTTCTTGGGTTCTGTCCTACCCTGAGGGAAAATAACTTTTTAAGAAGCAACTGTTATTAAAACTTATTTTCCGCTTTTCCTTGTATTGGAACCGACTTCGTACAATGAATCTGAGGGGAATTCGCAGTGGATAACGCTACAATGACCCGCTGAAATGTACCGAAGACAATAACACATTTTGATATATATCTATTTTTACACGCACTAACAAACATCTACACACGCATATATATATATATATATATATATATATATATATATATATATATATATATATATATATATATATATATATATATATATATATATATATATACGTGTGTGTGTATGTGTATGTATACACACAAATATGTGTGTGTGTGTAGGTGTGTGTATGATATATATATATATATATATATATATATATATATATATATATATATATATATATATAAAAAACACTTATACACACATATTTATATATGTATATAGTCTCAGCCTTTAGAGTAGTCGGGTTTGCATTATATATGGAATTCTGATTTTTGGTTATACATAAAAGAGAAAAATATTAGAATTTCCCAGTTCTAGTATGTGGTCGACCCTTCAGCCACCAGAACTATTTTCCGTCGGTTTAGGATGGAAAGGGAAGTCCCACACGCCCTCGATAGCCTCTTCCAGCTCGGGAGGGGGGGGGGGTCCTGTCTCACCAACGCAGCCATCCATTAATGACGTGACAAAGCTTCGATGGAGCTGATGTCGGGGAACAGTTCCTAAGACAGCCTGCATCGCAAAAGTCCAGCAGTCAGTGTCCAATTTGGCGGCAGCGTCGCCCCTTGTGGCTAACGGAACGCCCTGGATGTCAAGAAATGTGTTTCAGTGTGAATTCTGCCATGTGGGCTTTTATGGCAACGAAATGCTAGTGGACACTTTGACTTGTATCGCATAACATGTTAAGCTAAGCATAGACTGTTAAATGGGGAGAAACATGAGAGCATGATCCTTGGCTAATAATCGAAAATATACTACTTAATTATGAAAAAAGACATGATTACTAACACATAAAATGCCACAGTGAATGTGTTTAGAAGCGAAATCTCAAGCAAAACTCGTGCGGGTCAAAGGGTACATTTGAGCGTCACCGAACGTAGTCTTTGTATTTTTTTTTTTTTTTTTTTTACGGAAGGCGGGCCTGGGAAAAGGCCGCTTGGTGGCTCTCTGAACGCTCCTCCAGATGTTCAATAAGCCTCCTTAAGTTCCTCTCTTTGCTTTGTTCATACTTTGGGGTAAGACAATGAATTTTCCAATCTCAGAGTACGTAACATAGGCCTACACAGTCAACTATTTTGGAATTTCCAAATCCCTTTGACGAATGTTTGGTCGATTGGATCGGATTCCTTGCGCCTTTTCACCTCCCAAAGGAATTAGATACGACGTAAACCCCACTCAGCTTTTCAAGAGTGCAATGGAAAATAGGTTATATCAACGGTTTGTTGTTTTTTTTTTTTTTTTTTTTTTTACGATTTATTCCACGTTCATCGTTCTGCATTTTCTTTCCCTAATGATTTGTCCTCCGGAAATGGGGAACATTAAGCCAAGTTTCCTCTTTTTTCAGGATGCCACTCCATTGTACGTAGCGTCCTATAATGGTCACGTCGCTGTCGTTGAGTCACTGGTTGCCAAAGGAGCTGACCTCAACGCGAAGCGAATAGATGGTAAGTCAATTGAGGTGATTGACGCAGCTATTCGTTGTTTCTTTTCTTTTTTTGTATTAGCATTATTGAGTGATTTTACTGTTTTTTTTTCTCTCATGAGTTGAAAGGTGTGCATAGCATTGTTGATTCATCATTTTTATTGTGAAGGTGAGAATGATCAATTTTGTCATTCTCATCTCTTTGTTTCTCTTGTTTTTTGTTTGCAACTCGTTATGAAAGTTTGGAAAAAAAAAATTTTATCATTCGCTTTACATTCTTAATTCACAGAAAAGGTGATGATAATGAGTTACAGGAAATAGTAATAGCATAAAAGTAAGGATGGGAGAAATATAGATCTAGGAGAATTAGAGAGGGCAACATTGTCATAGTTGTGATAATTGCCAGCGGTTGCTTCTTTGAAATTCCATTTGTTATTATCATTACTGCGATAGTTTTTCTATTATTATCCTCACCACTGTCTCCTTATCATCATCGTTATCAGTAGCGCAATATTCCTTTAATTCGGTAAATATTTAGAGGGAATATCTAATATCTCCAGTATTGTCATTATATTCTTAAAGAACTTCCCTTATTCTCATACTTTAACCGAAATGCACAGTGTATTTTTTAAGTACTAAAAGGAAGAAAGAAAGACTGCATTTATCTTTGCGTTAGTGTCTATGTTTAGAAATATTTTCTTCTGTTCCCTTCTCGCATCTTAGCGTTAATCACTCTTTTCCTCCCTCACTTTCCCTTTTCCCTCCGCCTCGTCTTCCCTTTCCTGTTCCTCGCACTCTCCTCTACCTTCCCTTTTTCGCAAACCTTCTCTGCTTCCTCCCCCCCCCTAACACACTCCCCCTCGATCCACCTTGCCTTCAACCGCTTCCACCGCACTCCTGCTGAATCATTATCATTATTGTCACTATTACTCTATTTTGATATCATGATCATCTTCATCAAGCGCGTTTTCATCCTCGTAGTATTTCATAATAGTGATGTGTGATGGTTATATATATCTTTATCATATTAATTTATAACATTGTTGGTATTTCATTAGTGATATCATAATAATAATAATTAATAATAAAAACTGTAGCCACAAAATGAATAAGCATAGCCTATTAACATCTTTTTGTTTCTTTTAAACATTCTATCAAATTATTTTTACTGGAGTCATTGCTGCTACCATAATTTATTTACGGAAATGGTAAAATAGCTATTACACTCGTCTTATCTCGTCTCCCTTCACACCGTCCTCCCCCTTCCCTTCTCCTCACATCGAACTGAAACTTCACTTCACTTCACCCCCCCTCCCCCCCTCTCCCACCATGCCTCACCCGACCCATCATGCTGCTGCTGAGCCCTTTATGATTGGCATTATTGTTGACATATTTAGTATATTCATTATCATTATCTCAATTACTCTTACTTTCAATAATCATAATAATTCAGCCTGATACAGTTTTGAAACTTTGGCAATTTTCACGAGATCTTTATCAATTTTCCCTTTTCGAAAATAAATATATATCTCGTCAGTGCAAAAAATAATAAACCTTATAATAATTATATCTAATGTTAATGATAATGATTGTTATAATGATAATGATAGCAGCAACAACATCTGAAACAATAATAGCGACATCAATAATAATAATAATAATAATAATATAATAATATATAATAATAATAATAATAATAATATTAATAATAATAAACTGTGATAACATGAACAACTTTAGTGGGAATCATAATAATAATCAAAAGAAGAATATAACAGTCACCATGATTATAATAGATAATATAATAGTGATAAGATAATGAAATTAACGAGACGCAGAATAAGTGTAGGAATATTAAATAAGAATATGTGCTGTGCAGTGCACTTGTAACGTGCTGGGCTTGCTGACCTGCGTTCGATGCTGCGCACTACCAGTGAATGGTAACCCCGGCCATTCCTTGCACACAGGGTAATGGTAATGGTGAGAATAATAATGAAAAGGATGATGTTCATAGTGATAGTATTCATAATGAAAATGATAATGTAAGTTTTTGTGAAAGAGGAACCTAATTAGGGCCACCCGTGAGGCGGGAGACTCGTTCCCCGAAGAGGGGCTGAGAGGACCAAGGGAAATGAGGGGCCCGCTCGTTCCCCGAAGAGGGGCTGAGGGGGACCAAGAGGGCTGGAAAAGGGAAATGAGGGCCCGCTCGTTCCCCGAAGAGGGGCTGAGGGGACCAAGGGAAATGAGGGGCCCGCTCGTTCCCCGAAGAGGGGCTGAGGGGACCAAGGGAAATGAGGGGCCCGCTCGTTCCCGAAGAGGGGCTGAGGGGACCAAGGGAAATGAGGGGCCGCTCGTTCCCGAAAGGGCTGAGGGGACCAAGGGAAATGAGGGGCCCGCTCGTTCCCCGAAGAGGGGCTGAGGGGACCAAGGGAAATGAGGGGCCCCTCGTTCCCGAAGAGGGGCTGAGGGGACCAAGGGAAATGAGGGGCCCGCTCGTTTCCCCGAAGAGGGGCTGAGGGGACCAAGGGAAATGAGGGCCCGCTCGTTCCCGAAGAGGGGCTGAGGGGAGGGAAATGAGGGGCCCGCTCGTTCCCCGATTCGAAGAGGCCAGGGGCTGAGGGGACCAAGGGAAATGAGGGGCCCGCTCGTTCCCCGAAGAGGGCTGAGGGGACCAAGGGAAATGAGGGGCCCTCTCGTTCCGAAGGGGCTGAGGACCAAGGGAAAATGAGGGGCCGCTCGTTCCCCGAAGAGGGCTGAGGGGACCAAGGAAATGAGGGCCCGCTCGTTCCCCGAACAGGGGCTGAGGGGACCAAGGGAAATGAGGGGCCGCTCGTTCCCGAAGAGGGGCTGAGGGGACCAAGGGAAATGAGGGGCCGCTCGTTCCCCGAAGAGGGGCTGAGGGGACCAAGGGAAATGAGGGGCCCGCTCGTTCCCCGAAGAGGGGCTGAGGGGACCAAGGGAAATGAGGGCCCGCTCGTTCCCCGAAGAGGGGCTGAGGGGACCAAGGGAAATGAGGGGCCCGCTCGTTCCCCGAAGAGGGGCTGAGGGGACCAAGGGGAAATGAGGGGCCCGCTCGTTCCCCGAAGAGGGGCTGAGGGACCAAGGGAAATGAGGGGCCCGCTCGTTCCCCGAACAGGGGCTGAGGGGACCAAGGGAAATGAGGGCCCGCTCGTTCCCGAGGGCTGAGGGGACCAAGGGAAATGAGGGGCCCGCTCGTTCCCCGAAGAGGGGCTGAGGGGACAAGGGAAATGAGGGGCCCGCTCGTTCCCGAAGAGGGGCTGAGGGGACCAAGGGAAATGAGGGGCCCGCTCGTTCCCCGAACAGGGGCTGAGGGGACCAAGGGAAATGAGGGGCCCGCTCGTTCCCCGAAGAGGGGCTGAGGGGACCAAGGGAAATGAGGGGCCCGCTCGTTCCCCGAAGAGGGGCTGAGGGGACCAAGGGAAATGAGGGGCCCGCTCGTTCCCCGAAGAGGGGCTGAGGGGACCAAGGAAATGAGGGGCCCGCTCGTTCCCCGAAGAGGGCTGAGGGACCAAGGGAGGAATTGAGGGGCCAAGGGGATGCCCGCTCGTTCCCGAACAGGGGCTGAGGGGACCAAGGGAAATGAGGGGCCCGCTCGTTCCCCGAACAGGGGCTGAGGGGACCAAGGGAAATGAGGGGCCCGCTCGTTCCCCGAACAGAGGCTGATGTCGGAACCAACACGACCTCGCAAGCAAAACTGTCCCCGGAGTAGGTCTACCAGGAGCGTGACCAATATGAAGATGAAACATGAAATAAAAAAAAAATCCTAAAAGGAACAAACATAAGGTGCAGAAGGCACCAAAATAAACGTAAATGGAAGTGCCAGAAGGGCTTAAGAATGACTAAAAATACGCCAGAAGGGCCCAGAAACAGTAAAACCTGCCAGAATGGCTTAAGAATTACTTTTGAAAATATGACCGAAGGGCATAAAAAAAACTGACAATACGTAAATACGTAAAAATAAAAAGAAGAAAAAGAAAAGAGGTAGAGGTAAGGAGACATGAAAAAGTAAATGAAAATGTGATAAAATGTGAGACGTAAAAAAAAAAAAAAAAAAAAATGGAGTAAAAGAGGAGTAAAAAGAGTAAAACGTGAATAAAAGAAGCGAGTGAAAGGACAAGAGAAAGACAAGCCAAATACGGAGTAAGTAAAAAGTAGAGGCAAAAAGAGCATACACGGATCAAAGTAAAATATAAAGTAAAAAATAAAGTCGCACGTCCAGCATGAATACACTTAGGCAAGTAAGAGGAGCAGTGCAACCTTGTTTCAGCGTCCACGATGTGAATCCAGTCAGGTATTCCAAAGGGTGAAGTCAGAGCACAGTCAAAGAATCCACTTCGTTTATTGTATAGAAACAAGGGGTTAACTTAGTTCGTACGGACGAAGGCATAGCGGATAAAAACAATAAAATAATAAATAGGAAACATCATCATAAAAGAAAATATGCATAGGATAAAAGAGGTAAAAGCAATAAAGCATTAAGGAAAATCAATATGAAAATTATAATTGGTATAGAAAAATACGCAAAAGAAAATGTACATAAAATAAAGCATTAAATGAAATAATTTTTAAAAATCGTATTTAGCAATAAAAATACGATAAAAACTCTTCTGCGATTCAATAATGAAAATACTAAAATCAGTAGTTTTCTTTTGAGGTAAAAGAGAGATTAAAAATAATTAACAAGTAAAAAGAAACCACTGAAAAGTAAAAGAGATAAGGTTAAAGATAGAAGGTAAGGCAAACGGGGAAAAGGAATGGGAAGGGAGGAATGAGCGTAGTAAAAGAGGGAAGCGAAGAAAGGGAGGAGCAAGAAGAGGGTGCGAATAAGAAGGGTACGAGGGGAAAAGCGGCAGGATAGGAATAGGATAGAGGCAGGATAGGTTGGAGATAAAGATAAAAGGCAGAACAAGCAGGAGAAAGAAGTAGAAGAGGGGAGTGAAAAAACCAGGGGACAAGAGGGTGTGAATAAGAGGAGAGGGATATGAGAATAGGGGAAAGGAG